CTGCTCCAAAAACCGCCTGCTCAGGCGCGGGAAGAAAGAGGGGAAAAGAAGAAAGCGTTCAGGGTTATGGAGGTTATGTGGTGGTGTCGGTGGTTGTTGTGGCAGCGGTGGTGGCGTCAGCAGTGTCGGTGGTGAGGGTCTGCAGGCGCTGCTGCTCCAGGAACCGCCTGCTCCAGGAACCGCCTGCTCAGGAGCGGGAAACAGAGGGGAAAAGAAGGAAGGGTAGACAGCCAAAAGGAGGACGCCTCTTGAGTCCAGGGTTCAGAGTTATGGAGGTTATGTGGCGGCCTGCAGGCGCTGCTGCTCCAGGAACCGCCTGCTCAGGTGGGGGAAGCAGAAACAGAGGGGAAGAGCAGAGGGGGCAGACAGCCGAAAGGAGGACTCGCAAGTCCAGGGTTCAAGGTTATGGAGGTTATGTGGTGTTGGTGGTGTCAGTGGTGGCGGTCTGCAGGCGTTGCTGCTCCAGGAACCGACTTTTGAGACGTCTCAAAAGGCGTTGCTGCTCCAGGAACCGCCTGCTCAGGTGGAGGAAACAGAGGGGGGAAAAACAGGGGGTGGGCAGCCAAAAGGACGACTCTTGAGTCCGGGGTTCGGGGCTGTGGAGGTGCTTGGGTTTGACTGCCAGACTGTGGCGTTGCTTGCTGCTCAAGAGCTGCTGGTAAGGGAAACCCTGGCCTCAGGCGATGCTGCTCTATTGGAGTGACTTTTGAGAATTCTCAAAAGCCTCAGGCGATGCTGCTCGAGAAACCTCTTGCTCAGGCGATGCTGCTCGAGAAACCTCTTGCTCAGGCGATGCTGCTCGAGAAACCTCTTGCTCAGGTGATGCTGCTCGAGAAACCTCTTGCTCAGGCGATGCTGCTCGAGAAACCTCTTGCTCAGGCGATGCTGCTCGAGAAACCTCTTGCTCAGGCGATGCTGCTCGAGAAACCTCTTGCTCAGGCGATGCTGCTCGAGAAACCTCTTGCTCAGGCGATGCTGCTCGAGAAACCTCTTGCTCAGTGAGTGATATGGTAGATGGTAAGGGAGACGATATGGTGACGGAGAGGGGAAGGAGACGGACAGGGAAGGTAGATCAAAGCTGATCAGGACCCTCAGATTTATCCAGCACCATTAGATCGGGTCGGCTCGGCACCATCGGATCTGATCTGATCGCATCAACACCATGAGATCTGATCAGCAGCATGAAATCTGATCCGATCAGAACTATTGATCAAAGACCATGCCTACAAAAACGGCCGAAAACCGGAGGTCATTCTCAAACGGCGTATCATATCTGATACACCTCAAAAGGACATCAAATCGACTTGCCAATCCAGATTTCCACACACAGTAGCGCCTCACTTCTTAAGGAGGATGAAGCGGTTGCAGCAGGCCTTGTTGTCCCGGAGAGGCAGCTCGCGGCTCCGCTGCAGCAGCCCCCAGTTGCGCGTGCCATGGCGCATCACGTGCTGCAGCAATATGCGATCCTCCTGAGGGAATGATGATGGGTGAGAATGGGTGGGAATGGGTGAGAATGGGTGAGAATGGGTGAGAATGGGTGAGAATGGGTGAGAATGGGTGAGAATGGGTGAGAATGGGTGAGAATGGGTGAGAATGGGTGGGAAATGGTTTGAGTCAATTGTGAAGTTGCTGCAGCAGGCCCCAGTTGCGCGTGCCATGGCGCATCACGTGCTGCAGCCATATGCGGTCCTCCTGAAGGGATGATGATGGGTGAGAATGGGTGGGAATGGTTCATGATGGGTGCACATAGGCAGCAGTTGAGTGCTTCGAGTCAAGCTAGCAGAAACCGCTGCAGAATCCCCAGCTGTGGATTCAGCAGCGTGTGCCATGGCGCATCACGTGCGGGAGCAATATCCGGTCCTCCTGCTGGGATGATGGTTGATAGATGATGCATGGATGGTGCATGGATGGTGCACGGATGGTGCATGGATGATGCATGGATGGTGCATGGATGATGCATGGATGGTGCATGGATGGTGCATGGATGGTGCACGGATGGTGCATGGATGGTGCATGGATGGTGCATGGATGGTGCACGGATGGTGCATGGATGATGCATGGATGATGCATGGATGGTGCATGGATGATGCATGGATGGTGCATGGATGGTGCATGGATGGTGCACGGATGGTGCATGGATGGTGCATGGATGGTGCATGGATGGTGCACGGATGGTGCATGGATGATGCATGGATGATGCATGGATGGTGCATGGATGATGCATGGATGATGCATGGATGATGCATGGATGATGCATGGATGGTGCATGGATGATGCATGGATGGTGCATGGATGGTGCATGGATGGTGCACGGATGGTGCACGGATGGTTCATGGGCAAGAGTTGGAGGATGGATGCAGCTGGGAATTCTGGAGTGTCAGATGGGAGTGTGTGTGCGTGGTTAGCCCACATCACACATGGAAGTAATCAGTCACATGGGGCGATCACGTGATAGAATCAAACCAATCAGGGATCATCATCATGATGCACATGGTTGCGCCTAGAGACATCTCAAAGTACAATAAAATCAAATATGATACAGGATCGGATGGGCGGCACAAGGAGCAGCGCACCTGGTTGCTCCAACGGATGAACTGCTCGGGTGGGATCGACGAGCTGTTCCACGCACTGCCACGTGGCGATACCGCCGCCATGGAAGGCCGGAAGCTAGAAGAAGCCACTGCTAGAGGAGGCGTTGCCCGGAGAGAGGCTGCTTGGGGCGGCACTGCTTGGGGCGGCATTACTGGGGGAGGTGCTGCTTGGAAAGAAGTTCCCTGGAACGCAGCTGCCCGGAACGCAGCAGCTTCCTGGAAAGCAGCTGCACGGAAAGCGGCAGCCTCCTGGAAAGCAGCTGCCTGGAAAGCAGCTTCGTGGAAAGCAGCTTCTTGGAAAGATGCGCTGACTGTCAGGGTGTTATGAAACCTGGGTGGTGGCCTGGAGCCGTTGCTGCCGTTGCCTCCATGATACGGCGATCGGATTGGCTGATTCGGATCGGTGGCTTTCTGGCTCATCTTTGGGCTTCACGAAGCTATATGATTTCCACTCCCACTGGTACTTAGAGCTCTGGTACTTGGTGCTCCCACTGGCACTTAGAGCTGATCCACTCGTACTGGTACCTACTAGAGGTGTATGAAATCCACTCACAGTGCTACTTAGAGCTGTATGGTATGCACTCACTCTGTTACTGTAAGGTGTACGGTATCCACTCACACTGTTACGTAGAGCCGTATCCTATTCACTCCCTCTGATGCTACAAGTCTCACTCTTATTGCGCCGTGATGGCTCAGAATCTCCCCACCAGGTCTTCTCCTCAGCAGCCTTTCTCTCCAAGTCTCCCCACCAGAACTTCTCCTCAATAAATTCTCTCCAAATCTCCCCACCAGGTCTTCTCCTTAATAACTTCTCTCCAAATCTCCCCACCAGGTCTTCTCCTCAGCAGGCCTTCTTTCCAAATCTGCCCACCAGGTCTTCTCCTCAGCAGGCCTTCTTTCCAAATCTGCCCACCAGGTCTTCTCCTCAGCAGACCTTCTCTTCAAATCTCCTCACCAGCTTCTCTCAGCAGGCCTCCTCACAAGGTCTTCTAACCAAGTCTCTTTACCGCTTCACCTTATCCGGGTCACCAATGAATCTTCTACAACTAGTGGTATACTCTAAGGTTGCGTGCCTGCCGCTGCATACAGGATTGATCAGTAGCCGTCGATCTAATGAAGGTCTCGAACGCATTGTACGGATGTCAGAGAGAGGACGAATCCAAAGAGAAGAGGAGCTCAGTCAAAGAACCAACAGTTATAAGTACTACTAGCGTGGAAGCTTCCTCCTGAATCAAGTTGAATCAGAGCCAAATTGCTCCTGGCAGTAGGCTTTTTCTGAAGACTTTGCTCACACTTTTGGACTACCACAACGTCTCATCGGACTCGAGTCCGGATCCGGATTGCAAACTAACTCTCCGTCGGTCCTCGCGCTAATTTAGAGAACACCGAGCGCGAAATGTAGACTAGTAGAGAGTAATGGTAACTTGAGATTGGCACCATATACATGAATACGACATTGAGGGATTACAGTACGTAGGACTCGAAACTGGACAGCTGGATACATTCAGGTCCCGTGTTGACATGATTAACATTCAGGGTTTCAGCGAATCGTTCGGTGCGTTCTGTAAGCTAGCAGAACGCTATTCCACGCCACGCGCCGCAAAAGAGTAGGTACAGTACGAATCTGCTGCTAATGCGGCTGGTTCTGCTAATAGTAGGTAGTAAGGCTGACAGTTTGTGACCGCATGAGTAAGAAATTTCGAGCGAAGTCTGTCTATCTGAAAAGCTCGAGTGGATGTGGAGAGTTTGAGCCTATCGGAGTGGATGTATGTGTAGAGAGTTTGAGCCAACAACTAAGTGTTTCCGGCAGCACTTTGCTGATAGGATGCACTCTTCTGCCTTCCGAATGCTAGCGTAGCAGTTGGTGTGTCAACAGAAAGTCTCAGTTGTGAAAATCACGAATCTCTGTGGATCGAGTGACAGGCACCATTTGCACAACTGCTCCAAAAGCTGCAGCCAGTTTTGGATCAGATGAGTCAGGGGAAACGACCTTTTTCCTAAATGTGAACGAGGTGAACGCGAGCGTCCATGGTGACACCACCGTAGCGTCGACGCCATGACCAGTTTCTGTTTCTGCCGGAATGTGATTGCACTGTGCACAGCAGAGAACATCGCAGTGTGGAGCGGAAGACGAAATGGGGGTTCGCTGTCACTCGCACGCCCCTTCCCATCACAAAGAGCTTTCGTTCAAGCTGTACAGTACGCTCCGAAATCGATTCATTCTTCCTGCCTTCCCTTCCATCCCCCCTTTCCGATAAAACCAAGCAAGGTCGCCCAAACCTAGACAGATCGCATGCCCGTGCCCGACATTCACGTGACCGATAGCGCAAAATGGCCGATTCGGAACCCCTATCGTGTTAATTTGACGGTTGGAAGAAGATGGGATATCTTATTGAGTGTATTTCTCCCTTGGAAAAAAACTAAATGACGGGGGTAGTTTTTAATGCTTCGCGTTTTAGAGCTCGACAAATCAGACACAATTTATTTTGAGATCTCCTCCCTCTTGCAAATTTGCATGTCAAAAACCATTCGTTTAAGTGCCGCCGCACTCTCACAGTAGCATCCTCAAGACTCCAAGCGAAGTGCTTCAATTCAAGCTCCGCGTGCGAAGCAGAGGGACAAAATACCTGACGTAGCAGGAGCACGCCATTCTCATGCGGTCATATGAAAGGCTGGCGCGTGTACCCTGCAATGAAATCTTTTTCGTAACCCTCCACAGGCCCGCTGAAGATGGGCCGTGGAAAAGCGTCAGCAAGCTGATTCGGCATAAAATATCCACCCTCCAAGGCCTAAAAAATCAGGGAAGATGCATCGGGGGGACTGCACAAGGCATCAGCAACAGCAAGCAACAAGTCCAGTTCCCAGACAGAAAGTTTTTATTGGGTATGTGTCCCAAAACAGTTCAAGCTACTCCGTACAATCGACTATTTCGACCAATCACCCCAGGAGATGAAGGAGTGGAAATCCTACTTCCCCACAGTAGCTCTCAAGAGTAAACTTGCTCGAGAGTGTGGAATATGCCAGCCACGTTCTCTTCCACATTCTTAGTCGTATACACTTAGCTGACGGAAGTTTCACATAATCAATTCCTTCAGGAACAGTCCAGGTTTACCCCCTCAGAACCTGCACTGACGTCCTTTCCATTGCAGTCACAGTCAGCATGTGAGTCATCCCAGCTGTAACACAGTGCTTTTAGCTGGCATTCAGCAGATGCGATCAGCTACGCTCTCCGAAACGACAGATCGCTGAACGTGGTCCGCATTGTTTTACCAGGTTCATCCGTGTCCACGCGCATGAACCTTTAGCACCGCAATTTCCACAGCAGTTGCGAGAACGAACAATTGTGTGCGTGTACAATATCCGTCAAAGATGGATCAGGGCCTAGAATTGAGGTTCCGTTTGTGAGCAGCTACAGAAGTACTGTGAACATTTCACGTGTGAAAATGATGCCCTACTCATTCTGTATCAACTGTTTCGCTACGATAAAGTAATGCTTAATAAAGAACTGTAGAGTCCAGAAATGCTTAATGAAAGTAACCTACCTGCTTGGATGCTAGCCTCTCAGGACTTGACTCCCTCAGACCCTAACTAATGCTCTCTGTTCACGAGTTTATCACCATCACATGAGCGTAACTAATTGCACAACAGTACAGAGAACACACTGACGAGGGCCATTTTGTAACATAAAGAACCACGAGATGTGGCACAAAAGATTCATGAGCTGCTGTTACAATATCAGCCCAAGGACGAACCAGACCAGAGCCACCCACATGGCTACATACCATTGGTCCCGTGGCGTTTAGTGCCACATTCAGAGCAGAACTTGGAAGAATCCCTAACATATGTGGCTCCACACTCGTCACAGTACTTAGCAAGAGCAGCAGCTGCAGCAGCAGCTGCTGCTGCGGCTGCTGCAGCTGAAGATTGCTGCACACAGCCATAGGGTGTCTCCCCACACTCCGCCTGAAGAAAAACAAGAGTTGGCAATGGAATAAAACACAGCATTTAAGCATAGAATTCATATCTGATGTTTCCGGTGCAGCTGAAATAGCTGCACAGATCCCCAGCCGCAGGTTGAATCTCCACATTCATTCTCAATGCGCTTTCCGAATGATGCACTTACTGGGGTGACAAGCACAACTAGATTATGCATTAAACCGTCACCAGGTGATGCGATGCACTTACCGGGGTGAGAACCATGGCCAGGTGATGCGACCCAGAAGGCAGCAACCCCCTCGGCAAATGTGGCGGCACGTGTCCCGGCCCCATGCCCTGCTGCCCCTCCCCCCCTTGCAGATGCCCCAATGGACCACCAGGCCCCTGGGGAAGGTGCCCCAGAGGCATTCCCCCTCCCGGCCCCATCTGCTGGTGCCCAGGCATCCCCCCCTGCTGGGGGTGCCCGTGGGGAGGGCCTGGGGGGAGAGGGATGGGCGCTCCGGATTGATGGTGGATTTGGAGGTGCATTCCTGGTGCTCCGGCTTGGTGGTGGGGTGGGACGGATTGGAGTGCAGGGTTGCCGGTTAGGTGCGGGGAGGGCTGCTGCTGGTTGGGCGGCCGTTGCTGCTGTTGCTGTTGCTGCTGCTGCTGTTGTTGCTGTTGCTGTTGTTGTTGCTGGTGGTGTTGGTGCTGTTGGTGGTGCTGGTGCTGGTGTTGCTGCTGGTGCTGCTGCTGCATCTGTTGCTGCATAGATGGGTCCGATGGATGGTGCTGGGACGAATCCGCCATGACCATAGCCTGCACCATGGGAGGGGGAGAGGGGGGAGGAGGAGGGGGAAGGAGGATTGGAATGATCTGTCACGGTTGACTCCCATCCCAAGGAGTCCACCATCCCCATGGCCTGCACCATGGCAGGAGATGCATGTATTTGCATGCCGTGGCATGGCATGGCATGGCGTGGCGTGGTGTGGCATGGCACAATGCTACCCACAACCATACCCACAGTAGCAGTGAGCTCAGAGGCACGTCAAAATCACCTCGCCCTTCTACCCTCCTCGCCCAACCCCCTCTGAATTATCTCCTCCCTTTCCCCCCACGCTCCCAACATCCTTACTTACCATGTGGTGCATGGGAGCAGCGAGTTCAGCCGGGTTCGCCACAGAAACAGCAGACACGGACGGCTGAGGCACCCTCTCGGTCCCTTTCCCCACCGCTCTGCCCCCCCTCCCCTCTTTTGTTCCCGCCCTTACCATGTGGTGCATGGGAGCAGCGAGTTCAGCCGGGTTCGCCACAGAAACAGCAGTCACAGACGGCTGAGGCACCCTCCGGGGTTTGGGCCGCGGCGTGAAGTACTTGAAGTCCCGCGGGTATATTGCCACCTCGTGCCGCCCGGTTATCCTCTTGAACCTGCGAGAGGGGAGGCAGAGAGGAACGTTTTTTAAGGTGCCTTTATGAGTCCACCAGGTCCTTTGTTCACTTTAGGTGCCCATGCACCACAATGAACCGACTACTGCAGCCTCTGGAAACACAGAGACCACAGCAACTCTCTGCACCAAGAGTACGCTAAGGTGACAAGCAAGCCTACCACTCAGCATCATCAGGTGAAATGGTGGAGGGTTGCTCCACCAGCTCCAGCCCATGCACCACGATGAACCGACCTTGGAGGCGCCCTTAAAAGTATGGAGAAAAGCAAGCGGCCCACATGTCTACCTTCGACAAGCACTGAGTCAACTAGAAGGTGGCGACACTACGACTCAGCGTCGTCAGGAGACATGGTGGAGGGCCGTTCCACCAGCTCCAGCCCATGCACCACGATGAACCCAGCAATGTGATGGCCCAGTAAAAGAAAGAGATAAACCAGCAGATACTAGCAGTGAGAAAACTGTAAACAGGACGGAGAAGAGCCTACCACTCAGCGTCATCAGGTGACATGGTGGAGGGTCGTTCCGCTAGCTCCAGCCCATGCACCACTAATGTGGCCCAGTGGAAGAAAGAGAGCGGTACGATCAGCTACGATCAGCATACCACTCAGCGTCATCAGGTGACATGGTGGAGGGTCGTTCCACGAGCTCCAGCCCATGCACCACAATGAACCGCACACGCTTGTCGTCCCGCCCCAGCACCAGCTGGGGGAAGCGCGCCCTAGCCTCCAGTGCAGACGCCATCTCCCTTCGCCTGAATATGGTCACGGCTCCTGTGAGAACGAGAAACCAGGGGAGCAAAAAGCAGGGGGGCGCTGGAAGAATGAGTTGCTGTAGCACACGCTTGTCACCCCCCTCCACCAGCTCCAGCCCATGCACCACGATAAACCGCATCGCCCCTCCCCAGCACCAGCTGGGGGAAGCGTCCACTGGCTTCTAGTGCTGATGTCATCTCCCTGGCTCCTGTGGGAATGGAGCGGGAAGCAGGTGGGAGTGGGGTGGGCAGGGAAGGGGGGAAGCATGAAATCATCCGAGAGAGCGCCATTGAATCTATTGAGAATGTAATCTCTGGTACCAAGGGAGAGGTGGACGGAAGGAGGGACGCAGACAGGCAGGCGGGCAGGTAGGCAGGCGGGCAGGCAGGGAGGGCGGCAGGGAGGGAGCACCCCTGGTACCCACCAGACTTAGGGAATTTCTCGACCATGCGCCGGTACAGCCCCCCCGCTGCTTCCAGCGCGAGCCCCATGGTCTTGCCGCGCAGCACGTCCATCTCCGCCATGCGCTGGTTCACCTCGCCCACCAGCGTCTCGTACGCGTTCGCCAGGAAGATGAGCGGCAGCAGGTGCCGCGGGTCCCCCTCGTATGACGGCCGGATCACCTGCTGCTCCACTGGCTGCTGCCCGTCCTCCATCTGAAGAAAAGAAGAAGAAGAAGAAGAAGAAGAAGAAGAAGAAGAAGAAGAAGAAGAAGAAGAAGAAGAAGAAGAAGAAGAAGAAGAAGAAGAAGAAGGAGGAGGAGGAGGAGGAGGAGGAGGAGGAGGAGGAGGAGGAGGAGGAGGAGGAGGAGGAGGAGGAGGAGGAGGAGGAGGAGGAGGAGGAGGAGGAGGAGGAGGAGGAGGAGGAGGAGGAGGAGGAGGAGGAGGAGGAGGAGGAGGAGGAGGAGGAGGAGGAGGAGGAGGAGGAGGAGGAGGAGGAGGAGGAGGAGGAGGAGGAGGAGGAGGAGGAGGAGGAGGAAGAAGAAGAAGAAGAAGAAGAAGAAGAAGAAGAAGAAGAAGAATGTGCTGGGGATGGATAGAAACCAAATGAGAAGCAGAAGAAAAAAAAAAAAAAAAACCAAAACCAAAACCAAAACTACTGCTACTACTACTTCTAGCAGAAGCATCTCACGCCCTCCGCTCACCTCTCTCGCTCTGCGCTTCCTCCTCTCCCCTGGGGAGTGTGAGGCTGCGAGCTGCGACTCCTCGGAGATGGGGACGATGTGGTACGTCACAAAGTGGTCGATGATCAGGTGCAGGAAGCGCACGCGCGCAGCCTCGATCGGCAGCAGATCTGACGCACAAAGGCACGGACGCACAGGCGAAACACAGGCAGGCGAGATGAGGGTTACATCAAGAACTGACACCAAGACCCGAAGCGCTTCTGAATTGCTTCTGAATTGAAAAAAAACTGACAAAAACTGAGGTGCCATAAAAGGTATTTCGGGGTGTACCGTGGATGTTGAGGGGGCTGTAGGGCTGTTGGGATTCAGGAGGTTCCGATTCCTCTGAGACGACTTGCATTGCGAGGCCCCCGTCGTAGGCTTGATGATGGACGCCGTCCGCCATGGCTTGAGGATCCATTGCCTGCATGGCCAGACACACAGCCACGAGCAGATATAAAACAACAAAAAGGACGGAAAATGAGGTAAAATGTTAGAGAGTAAAATCTTTCAAATGGGGGTAATTTATGGAAAATTACAATCTGCTTGCCTGTGTGAGTTCGGAAGCAGGGCCTTGCTGCATGGTGCTCCCGCTCTGCACGCTCGCTTGCATGGCGCTCTGAAGGCCAGACTGCATGCTGTTCGGAACGGACGACTGGGAATGGAGCGGACCCTGATGCTCCTCCTGACCCGGCTGCTGCTGCTGTTGCTGCTGTTGTTGCTGCTGCTGCTGCTGGAGGAGGTGATGTTGCTGTTGTGACTGCTGCTGTTCTCTTGCGTGGTGATGCTGTTCCATTTGGTCATCCTGCGGACCTTGATGGTGCTGATGCTCTTGTTGCTGCTGTTGCTGTTGCTGCTCTTGCTTAATTTGCTCGGAAGGCAGCGGAGGAGGAACGGAATATTGATCGGGATGCTGGGAATCTTGAAGCGAAGCTTTCAATTCTTCCGGCTGTCCGTCCAGGACAACTTGAGACTGCTGCTGCTGCTGTTGCTGTTGGTCGAGAATGCTTCCATGAACAGGTTGTTGCATGCTTCCGTCATTCACACATGAGAGGTCATGAGCAGACATTCCGTTACCGTTAACAATGTTCCTAGGTTCGCCTTGCGTGCCGTACGCGACGGAAGTCATTCTTCAGGTGAATTTACTAACCCGATTGAATATCTTGCAACGACGTGGAACGAGTCGTCAACGCAGTTGCAAAATTAGCTCCTAATTGAATGTGAAAAGCTCGGTTGTATATGAATCCGCGATTCGAGATGGAAATATTGGTTGGGGAGGTTAGCTCGTGCCAGCCATAGCTTGGGATAAAGCCAGACCAACGCAGTAGCGGCGGTACAAACGACGAGCCAAGAAACAGGAGAGGAAGGGAGCAGTAACAAGAATGGAGAACGAGTGTCGCGGCAAACCGCAGGCAAGGGAGGAGACAGAGGCAAGCTTGGAGAAAGCAAAGCGAGTTTGGAAACTGATCTATGGCTGCCGGTGCTGCAGACTCGTGGCTTGGGTCTGGTGAAGAAGCAAGAGAGGCAGGCCTGGGGGGAAATGGAAGAGGCCTGGGGGGAGAAGTGAGAGGCCTGGGGGAAAGCGCTAAGCAGGTATGGGGAAGGTATGGGGGAAAAACCTGGGCGGCTTAGGGAAGCTGGGGGATATTGGCACTCGCGGCCTGGGGGAAGCGGAGACGAATCCTGATGGAGAGGCGGAATTATTGTTACTGATGGGCCTTGCGCGCAGCTTTGAGGTGTCGGGCGCGTTGAAATCTTGGTGGGGTGGTCGAGGGACGCGGACGGAAACTCGCTTCTGGACAAGGCTAGGGAGGGTTTGGTGTGGGCTCGGCCAGAGCGAGGGTTTCGATGCCTTACTGTGAGGGTTTGGTGTGGCCAAGGCGATGTTGGTGTGGAGCGGGCCTTTCCGGAGCTGACACGTCGGACCATGTGACTGGTTGGGATGGGAACATCGATTGGGTTGGCGCCGCTCATGCTCTGGGCTCGACGGGGGGGGTATGATTGGTGATGTTTTTGTTTCAGTGGCTATCGGACTTCGACGTTCGATCGATGATCGTAGCATGCGGTACACCGTCGGATAAATCTCCAGCACCTCCACAACACGTTCTCGATAATGTCCTGAAAAGAAGACCTAAACGCCATTCCAAAAAGGAGCTAGAAAAATAATAATATATATACAACAGAAACACCTAGCACAACAGACAAGAGGAACTAACTATTGTCTAAAAATGTTGAAGCTTGAGTGTTACAAGGGCATGCCGCTTAATCGCTACTTGTCGCTCACTCCCAGACGAACTAATTTCACCATCAAGTGTGGACGATGAAGAGGACGAAGACGAAAATGGAGACCCCACATGTGGTGAACCACTCATGGGGCTAAAAGACACTGAAGGGGAGTGGAACGACATAGCTTGAACGTTGGCCTCATCGTGCAGGCCAGGTTCCGTGGCAGATCTCGGCATGAGAGAGAGCATTTGCTGAGCAACGGAGGGTTGTGCCATGGCAGCAGCGCTTACATTATCCGATCTAGCACGCGGATACGCTTCCACGCCACCAGCCGCATGGTTAGCCCGCAAAATATGCTGCTCCTGCTGATGCTGCTGCATCTGGTGAGACGATTTCAACCTCGAAACTGGCTCACTCCTCGCGCTCACAGCATCACGAGAAGTGGAGCCATGGGAAAGAGGCGACGGGCACCCCACAGCTCGTCCAAGCAGTCTCGGAGACGAATAGCCTGTAGAACCGTTACTGCTGCCACCGCCCCTGCCACTCCCACTGCTGCTGCCCCGGCCACTGCTGCTGCCACTGCCATTTCCGCTGCCAGTGCCACCATCTACGGCATCACCTGGTGCAACCAGCCTTATTCCTTGTGCGACATCCACTGCCGCTGCACGTCCTGCTACATCCAAGGTTCCTGCTACAGCCGCTGCTCCAGCGTGCAATGCTGGTGCCAGCCCCGACCTGGTATTCCTCTGTTGGGAACCTCCTCTGGCCGGTGCTCTCATCACCACCGGCCCTGATGCTGTTCTTGGCCCCAGAGTGACTGTAGCGGGGGGAGCAACCGAGCTGGGCGGCAGAGAGGAGCACGAGCGGAGGGGCGAGTAAGGGCGCCTTCCAGAGGGAGGACGGCGGGGGGAGGAGGATGCGGGGGAAATGGGGGAAGGGCGGGGAGAGGAGGTTGTGGAGAAGAGGGGGGAAGGGGAGTGGCGCGCAGAAGCAGGAGTTGGGGAGGAGGGGGCGGAGGAGGAAAGGCTACTAGGGCCGTTGGATCGCATCCTGCTCCCTTGATTCGACGGTTCAGATTGGAAAGGGGAGGGGGACAGGGGGAAGGAGCGGTGGAGAAGAATGCGGTGCTGGCGGTGCGCGCTGAGGGGGACGGTGAAGGGCGGAGACGGCGCGGGGGAGGAGTCGGGGGAGCAGTTTGACTGTGACTGTGCGGAGAGGGAGTCGGGGCGTGACTGAAATGAAGGGAGGTCGACTCGAAGGTTGGGACGTAGGCGAGTGTGGGCGGGGCTGCTGGTCGTATCGACGTGGCCTGCTGGGTAGTAGGCAGCGGCTGACGTGGCATCGGCAGCAGCAGCGGGACGAGCACCTGGAGGTGCGACAACAGCGGCGGGAGCAGCGGCGGAAGGAGCGGTGCTTCGAAAGCGGGAGAGACGGAGGCGGGACGTCGCAGAAGTCGGCGACGGCGGAAAGGACGGCGGGTGTGGAGTCAACGGGTAGCTCGGCGCAACGACGATGAACGCCCCATGCGAAGAGGCGGGCAGTGGTGACGTGGCAATCGCGCCAGTACTAGCGCTACTATCGTTAGCCAGAACCCGCGCAGCAGCGGAAAACTGAACAGCCACCGCAGCAGTCGTGGAAGATTCGTCAGAAGGAATACCTGGATGGTCGTGGGACGTGGGTAGCGACTTGGAAGACGGAAACTGCTGTCGGGCTGGGTGAGGTGCCGCTAGCGGAGACGCGACGGGGAGGCTGGTCGCCCCGGGGCTCGAAACGGAGCGCGGAAACGCCAGTTGCGACTGCGGTTTCCGCGGAGACGCGGTGGTCTGCGCGATGAGGCTCCCCATGTGTGCGTGGGGTTCCGGCGGTGCTGCGTCCGACCCGAGTCCCTCCCCTGACATGACTGCAGGGTCCGCCGTAGAATGCGCCGCCGCCGGCGCTGGCGCCGGTGCTGCGTTTCCGGTCTCACCATCCCGAATCTCGCGACTCTTCGATCTAGTCGCATTTAGTATTTTCGACGCTTTCTCACCAACCGACGCTTTCACACGAACCGCCGCGGCTGAGAGAGTCCGCCCCGGAGTACCAGCCCTGGGCCGAGTATCTCCCGCCGCCGCGGAACGGGACCCATCTTCCCCTGCCGCTGTGGAACGGGATGCGCCAGCTGCTCCGCGAACTTTTCCCCCGGCGAGCTTCTCGCCTCGACGTGCTCCCCGTGCGCGAGTTCCGCAATCTCCCCAAGCTTCCCCGCCGGGCCGCGTCTCCCGCATATCCCGCATTTCTACACGCGTTCCCCGTGGCTCCTGCGTCCCCTGCGCCTCCCGCGCACCTCGCGCCTCTCGCGTCTCTCGCGTCGTCTCCCGCACTTCCCCCGCTCCCCGCGCTCCCCGCGCTGCCCGCTCCGCCGTCCGCCTGTCGCAGCAGTCACGCTGCGCGCGTCCTTCAAGGAGAAAATCTTCCCTGACGACGACAAGATCTGCCAATTCCGCCTTTCCTGCCGATTCCGCCAATTCCGCCGATTCCGCCAATTCCGTCGCTCCCGATGCCTCCCGTGCCGACTCAGAGCTGCGCGCTGCGCAGCCCGCAGCTCGCTTGCGCGCAGCACGCGGGATCTCCGCGCGTTCCTCCTGCGGACCCGTACCGACGCTCGACGATTCGACTACCACGTGGCGGCGCTCCATCGCCGCTCTCGTGCCCCTAATAGTACTACTACTACTACCACTGTAGAGTCTGGGCGCTTTTCTATGATCGTCCTGGCGAACAGGGACCGCCGCCGCTATCATCTGTCCTAACGAGTTGCAAGATATCGGAAAGCATGCAGTCTGTGCTACGCGTTCTTGCTCTACTAGATATGTCGTAGCTGTGTGTTCTCTCGTGGTGAAGCAGAACTGTCAAGCGGAAAATCTGATTGAGTC